AAAATTATATATTCTCTGTTCCACTTCCATCATAGACTCTCCATTTTTCTTTTTAGTCCGTTCCACCAAATAAATTTTTTTAACATTGTTAAATATATTTAACAAATATAACTTAATTTAATTACATTTCAAACCTATTACACATTAGACTCATTCAAAATCTATTTATTATTATCTCTCTTCAATAGACAAATATTATTATCTATATTTAAAACTCTCAAATTTTTTTGTAAAATTAGTTTATATTAATTATATATAAATAAATATATTTTTTTATTTATTTGTATTATATAAAATTTATATTCTATAAAATGATATACATATTATATATTTTTTTTTATTGAAATATATAGTTTAAAATATTTAAATCCGTATTTCAATTTTTTTTCAATAATATATACTAATTTTTATTTTAAAAATAATAACAACACCACTTATATAAAAAAAAAAATTAAAAAAAAATAATATTATAACTATTGTAATTAACATATTAAATTACACTATCTAAAACATCAGTCTTTCTAACCAAATAGATCATCTTATTCGTGACAGAGGAAGTACTACTTTTCGTATTTTTTTACTATAAAAAAAAAATTACAGATCATATAAAAATTCATGCTAAAAAAAAATTAAACACATTTTTATTTGTGACGGAGAAAGTATATGTTTAATTTCTTAAAATATAGTAGTATCTAATTCAAATACTATATAAAATAGATCATCAACACTAATACACTATTCAAATTCTCAATACAAATGCTCTTTCCGTCCCATTGAAAGGTACCATTTTTTATTTTCGTCCGTCCCAAAACAAGGTTATCATATCCTAATTTAGTAATTGTACTACCTACTTCACATAATAAATACTCTTTCAACTTACAATATATTACACAAATGTCATTACTTTTATATTACACCATACTAATAGGGATATTTTTGTCTTTTTCACTATAATCCAATATAATACTAATATTCAAAAATCTACGTGCAAAAAGCAAACGCTCCTTTTCACTATAATCCAATATAATACTAATATTCAAAAATTTACGTGCAAAAAGCAAACGCGATCCTTCCAACGGGACGGAGGAAGTACACTGAATGTATATGTGCTGAAAGCAAATAAAAGTATTCTAATTATATTAATAATATAATTTAATTATAAAAATTTAAATAATTAATTTACAAAGTATTCAGCACTGAATCCATAGTCTATTAATACTACATTTCAAATCAATTTAAAACAGAATCGAATCCGAATATTCTTATGAAATCAAATCCAAGCACCAATGCCAAATAAGCTCCCAAAATTATTTCTCAAATGTCACATCAATTGGGAAAAAACGTGGGAGCTCGATACCGCCCTTTATTTGAACTCATTCAATAATAATAATAATAATAATAATAGTAATAAAAGATAGTTTTAGTTAGCAACAGGCTGAGTCAAACCGTGCAAGTCGTTGCCGTAATACTACTCAACGAATTTAAGCAATTCCCATTTGCTGACTTTTGAAGAAATTTTAATAATAGTTTTTGGGAATATATGTAATTTTGATTCCATAAGTAAAATTCCAATCATTTTAGTTATTTTATAGCATCATGGATGGAAAATTTCTCATATATAGCTTTATCCAAGTTAAAAGGGTGTAAGAGTAAAATATAGAAGAATCTCAAGGTTTGTCCATTTCAATTCGTCTTTGGATCTTGGATTTAAGTTTCAATACTAAACATTAAAAATATCTTTATATTTGTATAATTTTTTTTTTTTTTTTTACAAATGTCCTTCTATTAGTATTATAAGACACTAATAGAAATATTTTTGCAACTTTTTCTTAACTTGTACTACGTTTTGATATAATAACTAATATTAAAAGATAACACATAAAAAAGTAAATGAAACCTGCCTAACGGATGGATGTAGTATTATTTCTTAATCTTGCAAAATATCATTTTTTAATATAAACGAATTTACATTTTAGGTGTGTTCTATTATCAGATTTTTATATATTTATACTATTTGTCGAATACAGAATGACCGTCTCACCTATAAGCTCGAACTTTTAGGAAAACACAACCATTAATTATATATCCCCAACATGATAGCAGAGTGGACCTTGACGGTGGTGTTAGCTTCCGGCACGTTATATATGGTATCAAAGCGGACCTTGACGGTAGCGGCGAACGAAGTGACAAAGTGGCGGAATTGCTTGAGTGAAGGATCATGTTGGTGGCACGTCAAAGATGAGCATGTCATAAGGGAATTGGACATTCCAAAGAGGGAGTACTCATAGGGTGAGAGAGTATGCTCGACGTTGTTGGAGGGCCAAGAGATCTGAGCTTTGTTCGTGAGGGAAAAACCACGTTAAGGGCGATATTCGGACGAAGAATGCATAAGCCGCAACAAAGGATGTCCCAGATGGTGTGCGGAAACGAGTGGCGGAATGTGGATCTCATGTGGGTAGTCAATGGCAAAAAACCTCGCTGGCTGTTGGTGAGCACAAAGAGTGAGGGTATGCAGATAAGTGTCAATGGAGTGACACCGGAGGCATACCGAGGGTGCAAGAAACAATGTCAGTGCACTTGAATAGCGTCACACGAGGGCGTTTGCAACTTGAAGTGGGAGAGTATTATCACGGGTTGACATTCCTGCCCAGATTCTCAGTCATAGTCTGTCCCATGTGTGCGAGCCCATGTCCTATACGGTTGATCGACAACATATGTCTTAGTGCAGATACGTGTTCCGCATAATTCTCTCATACTGTATGGTATATCCCAGGCGTGTTGCACACAGGGGATGGCTGGTCTGGGCCTCAACGCGGGCGTAACCTATGCGTCGGGCCTGTCAGCTTCCAGACACGTTATATATAGTATTAGAGCGTAAACGACGTCAGTGCACTCAAGTGGTGTCGTATGAGGGTGTTTGCGACTTGGAGTGGGACATAAATGTTAGTCTGTGACAGTCTCCCCCACTCCAAATCGCAATTGTTCTAGTGCGAGGGCACTTGAGTGCACTGACGTTGTTTCTTGCACACTTGGCATGCCTCCAGGCGTCACTTCATTGACCCTTTCGTGCACACCACTTTTTGTGCTTACCAAGGGCCAGCGAGGTTTTCCATAGCCGACCCACAACTTGCTCATTCCGCCGCTCATCAGTCCGCTTCGTTCGTCATCAACGTCAAAGTCGGCTCTGATACCATTTATAACGTGCCGGATACTGACATTATTTATAAAAAAAAAATTAAAAACATGAAATAAAATATTTATTTTTATTTTCTATATTATAGTATTAAAAATAAATTTTACATTTAAAATATCACATCAATAGTTATTTGTGTAACATTGTACAATGATTTCAATTAAAAATTTTTACAATTCAAATAAAGAAAATATATACATATCGGAACCCCAAACAAACACACCCGTAATTGTGTTTATTAATGAAAAATATTTAATGATCAAATAACATCCTATGGAAAAACTTCAGCAAGTAAATAATACCATTCATTTACATTTTTAATATTCTTTTTATATCATGTTCTCTCCACATAAAATAAATATTTTTATTTATATTTAAAATTTTATCTTTTTTATATAATTAATTTATATTAATTATAAATACATAAACATATTTTTTTTTTACTTGTATTATAAATTATTTTTTACAAAATAATATTTATATTATATGCATATTTTTTTATTACAATATAATTTTTAAAATATTTAAATATATATTCTAATTTTTTAATTATATAAATATATTAAATTTATTTTTAAATTACAAATATTATTAATTATAAAAAATAATAAAATAATATCACAATGTACTATTATTAAGTAAGTAGACATTATTATTATAAATATTGTGTTATAAAAAGTGTCAGTTCATATTGAATGTAGGGAGTATAATTTAAAATAGTAATTTTTAAAAATAAAAAAAAAAAAACAAATATTGAACACTAAGACTGTTATTTTGTTTTTTATTTCCATTTTTTTAATCGAAAATATTAAAGTGAATACTTATTTTTCAATTAATCAAAATCAATTTTTTTTATTTAAAATATTGTTCTTTTAATATTTTTTTCGACACGATTTTCAGAAATATATATTATAGTATATTTTATCATCTCACAAAAATTCAACAATAATATAAAATATTCTTTTTTATATTACTTACACAATTTTCTATATCTTACATAATAATAAAATAAAAATAAAAATAAAAATAAAAAAATTTCTAAAACCAAAACACTCAAATCATTTGCAACAAATATATTCATCAAAGTATATCTCCAATTTTATTTTTTATTTCTTTCTTCCACCTCATATTATCTTTCCTCCAACTCAACAAAAAGATATCTATATATTTATATTTATATTTATATCAAAATTATTTTTTTTTTAAATTATTTTTTAAAAAAAAATATATCAATATATATATATATCATTGTGTATAGAAAATAAAATTTTATATAATATAAGAATGCAAAAAGGCATTTCTCCATAGATGCCCATGTCTGTTTAGTTGTGAGATTTTGGTTTTGTATTTTGATTTTGAATAAGAAAATTTTGAATATAAATAGTTGTTTGATGTGATATAAATATGTATTGATGTGATGTTTTAAATGTAAAATTAGATTTTAGTGTAATAAAAATAAATAAAAATTGGGTGTTTGATTTGATATTTTTTAAGGGAGAAGAAAATTGAAATAATAAAATCTTACAAGTTTTTTAAAATTTTTGTTTACTAACACTGATGTAGAGAAATGATGTGAAATTTTTGAATAGAAATCTCCTTGATCGAGATCTCACCGTTGCAGGTGCTCTAATTAAACAAACTTATGTTAAAAAGTTATTTATTTATTTAAAAAAGGAAGAAATTTGAAATCCAAAACACAGATAAAAGGGGAATCAACATCACTAAGCAACAACTTGACATATAAACACATTTGTTTATGTATGTATTATTAAGTCAATAGAATAGAGCAGAAGCCAACCAAAATAAAGCTACGTAGCGAAGGGAAGGGAAGAGAAAAGACGCAGAAAGTCCCAATAGTGACAGAGAAAGCAACGTCCATCCAATCAAATCAAAACTCCCATTGCATATTCATAACCAACATCATCCATTGGTTTAAATTTTTTATTCTAAGATTTACAAGTATAAGTCAGTCCTTGTTGAGTGTATAAATAGATGGATTGGAAAGGGCCTCTAACTCTTACTCTTGCCATTGCCCTTGTTAATTAATTTTAAAGAAAATTAATTTTGGTTTGATTTGAAGTGAATGAAGGGTGGGGGTGGTTCGTTGAGCTTCCCGGCGGGTTTCCGGTTCCACCCGACGGACGAGGAGCTGATGGTGCACTACCTCTGCCGCAAATGCGTTGGTCTGCCCGTCGCAGTTCCTATTATTGCCGACCTCGATATCTACAAGTTTGATCCATGGCAGCTTCCCGGTACCTATCTATATTTTCAATTTTATTTTTTTCTTGAAATTAATAAAAACAAATTTTGGAGGCAGATTGTCCAGTGGTGCTGATTTGAATAAAAGTAGACAATATATATCTTATATATGCAGTATATATTGTGTTCATCAAGTTAAATCAGTATTAATTAGTTGAGATTAACCTAAAAGAATTTTAGGTTAAAAAGTATTGCATCTATAATTAATTTACCTCATATCAAAAACCCCTTCCGTCCTGTCACACGGATGATTCATTTTTATTTTTTATTATTAATAAATTTATCAATATTAAAGACACTTAATAAATATAAATCAATTTAATTAAATTTTTAATCTTACACATAGACTCATTCAAAGCCGATTTATTTCTACATCGCTAGTCAATTAACAAAGATTTTTTATTTACCTTTGGTACCTTTTTGTTTTATAAACTAATTTATAATAATGATAAATAAATATATATATAAATATTTTTTATTTATTTGTATTATATAAAATTAAATGATAATCATATTGTATATATATTTTATTAAGACATAATGTTAAATATATTTTAAATTTCTTTTAATAGTTAAATAACTAATTTTTATTATTTAAATAATTAATTTATACTATCTAAACCCAAACAAAAAACTTATTCTTTGTTGGGACAGAATGGGTATTTTATTTTGTTATTATTATCAAAACAATTCAAAATTTAAAAAACACCTCCAAAACATACATGTAAATATATCCCAAGTCTAACACTTCGAAATTTTTGATAGATATGTCGTTATATGGCGAAAAGGAGTGGTACTTCTTCTCACCAAGAGGTCGCAAGTACCCGAATGGTTCGCGGCCAAACAGAGCAGCCGGGACCGGCTATTGGAAAGCCACCGGGGCCGACAAGGCTGTAGGGAAGCCTAATGTACTAGGGATCAAGAAATCACTCGTGTTTTATGCCGGAAAAGCTCCCAAGGGAGTAAAGACCAACTGGATAATGCACGAATATCGCTTGGCCAATGTTGATAGATCTGCCGGAAAAGGCAACAATTCCCGGGTATTGTGACTTCAAATTATCAACTTCATCTTTGCAATACATGATCTAGTATATATATATATTTATATATTTATCAAGTGACGGAACCAGCCCTAAAATTTAGGGGGGGCAAAATGTCAATTCACTTTTTCTTTTATTTAATACTATTTTTTTTTATTTCTCCAAATGCAACCGGATAAACAAGAAAAAAAAGGAAAAAATAGTTAAAAATTAAATTTTTAGAGAAATATTTAATAAAATTCAAATAATTTCTACTAAAAAATAAAACCTAAAAGTATAAATCAACAAAACTAAAAAAATATTATTATTTTTTACACTATAACATAAAAAAATTGAAAAATATGGGGCAAAATAATAAAAAAAAAAATACATAATTTTATTATTTCTTACACTAAAAAAAAATCTTATATTTGAGTGGTTGGGGGTCAACTACCCTCTAGTCCCTGTGTAGTTCCGTCTCTGTATTTATCTTATTGTGCTCTTGTATAATTAAATTGCAGCTTGACGATTGGGTATTGTGTCGAATATACAACAAGAAAGGAGCTTTAGAGAAGGCCAACCACAAGCCAAACAATGTGAGCGCGTACAATTGCAACGGCGAGCAAGTAATAGATTTGTCACGAGGAATGAATTGTTTCACCAACATCAACCCATCCGACTCAAGTAGCTCTGAGCACATTGCTTCGATTGAGTTTAAGGAAGTCGAGAGCGGCACCAAGTGGATCGGGTTTGAAAATCCACTTGAATTCAAACCAGAAAAGTACGATTTTAGGGACGATTCTTTTAACTACCAAGAGATCATGCAATATGATCAGGACATGTTTGGTTACATTCATAAGCCTTTTTGAACAACCTAGCAAGGATGTTACATTTTATAGCAGAGCCAAAGTTAGTTTAATCAATGGCGGCAAGGATGTTGTTCCATCTAATCTATTAGTAAATTAAATGCACCGAATCGATTTCGTCCGATCCATTTTATAATTGTCTATTTATAGAATCGAAAAATGAAGGTTTCGATGAATCGGAGACGAAGAAGATAAAATTCAGGGGAATTAAACAAAGTACTATAGGTTTGGAGTTGTCTTGAACTTGTAGAAATTTTCAAGAAAAAAGCGCCATAAATTCTGTTTAAGTTTGTTATAAATTAAAACTAAACTGAACAAAGAGCGGGATGGCGGCGGCTACAGTGTTAATTTGAAATTCTAGTATAGCATGCTATTATTAGACAACACATAATAGTACTAAAAACAATATATTGTATATCTTAATATAATAAAAATACAACACATGTTATAGTCTCAACAACACACAATATTACTACAGACAACATACAATATTACTACAGATAACCCATTGTATACGTTAATATAATACAAATACAACACATGAACTAAAAACACATGCTATAGTCTTATACAACACATAACAGTTGATTTAGCATATGACGTACTTGTATACAACACATTTGTTATTATTAAAAAACAACACATACATTTATTATACACAACATGTGCGATGTCTAATACTAACATGTGATATTTGTATATATAATGCGTGCTGACGTGAAAAAACCATCCTGGATGAGATCTATTACATATAGACAAGTTATCTGGGTGTGTTTGTTTGGGGGATTGGATTTAATTTTCACTATTCATCCCATTTTCCCCCCCCCCAAAAAAAACATCAAAATCAAACATCTAATCAATTTTACATTCAAAACATCACATCAACACCTATTTATATCACATCATACAACTATTTAAATTCAAAATTTTTACTATTCAAATCACAATTCAAAATTCAAACCCCCGAACAAACACACTTGCAATACAGACAAATGTATAAGTAGCAAGCCAAAGCAAATCCATCCATGTATTATTAAATAAACACAGAGCAAAAGCAACGTATATAAACGACAATCATTAATCAACAATAAGGACAGATACATAGAACCTGTACCTCCCTTGTGTAAAAACTTCTAGGGCTGCCTGCTGCAACTCAGGTTTTACTGTTCCAGTTATTATAATTATAGCGTCTTGAACAGCGATCACTTCAATCTACAACTAGCATAGCAGAGAGCATCGCAGGAGAAAAGCTAGCAAGAAGATTATTTGAAAAATGAAAAGCGGGGGAAATATGATAAATGATGATGATGAAGGAGAAGAGATAGAAATTTAGAACAGAGGCCAATTTTACTGCTCCGTGGCCATTTTTACTAACATCACCACAATTCACCTACTCTCAATTCTTTCAATTTTCCATGTTCCCACTAATAAAACAATTGACAGGTGGAAGAGAGAATATGAATAAAATTTTAATTTTTAAGTATATTTTTATTACTTATTAATTTAAAAGAAATAAAAATAAAAAAATAAAAATTAGATTCAAACTTAAAAATCATTAAATTCTTTTTTATTTTAACTTTTTATTATATTATTTTAAAATAAAAATATATTGAATGCATTTGATTTGTATTTTAAACTTAGAATTACTATTCAGCTTGAAAAGTACTAAGTATATAAAATATATAAAAATATCCTATTTAGATATATTTCAACTAAAATATTTTAATTTAATGTGATATTTTTTTTAAATGATATACATTTTACAAAAGTTGTAAAAAAATAAAAACACAAAGCAAAAAAATGTTCTTAATTACAAATCAAATTTAGATTTTTTTTTTAAAAAAATATCACTCACAAAAATAAAAAATAATGAATTTTTTTTTAAAATACTACAAAATATTTAAAATTAATTTTTTATAATATTTTAAGAATTTATTTGTATTTTTTATTTTGAGTATATATTCTATAATATATATACTATTTATTAGAAAATTTGTAAAGTAATAAACATTTGAAATTTAATTTGGATATAATTTAATTTATTATTTTGGAAAAAATAATTAAATAATGAAAATATAGTTAAACAAAAATAATTAAATCATAAATTTTAATTGTTATCTCTTTTATTTTGTTAGCACATATGTCACCGTCACTACAAGAAAAAATCATTTTTGTAACAAAATTTTTTTGTCTCTAAATCTACTTTTTCCGTTACTAATAACATTAGAGACGGAATTAGGAATGAAATTACGTTAACTACGTGAACTTTAGGGACGGAATTCTGTTACAAATATATTATTTTTTTGTAGTGCGTTTTATTAGCTGAAAATAGAGGAAATAGAGATATTGAAAATAAAGAATTTAATGTGCCATCTTGCCGAAGCTTTCTACTTGTTGGTATGAAATTTTGTTGATGTATTGGAAATCCGCAAAATGTTCATACAAGTAACTGGTGCATGTGTGTGGTTGTTAAAATATACACGCTGGTTGCTGATGTGGAATGTTTTGCCGCATATTTTGAGTTGAATTTTTTTTTTTTTTTTTTTTGAAAGATGAAAATACAAGTCAAATCCTGCATATTTTAGAAGGAAAACGTCCAAGTAAAATTGTGCTACCATTTATTTGGAAAGTAAAAAAGAGATGAAGAAAAAAAAAAAAATGGACACTTCTGTTGATAAAACAAGATTTGTTAGTAGATATGAGAAGTGATGAAATTCATAACAGAACAAAATCTATTATCGAAATTGAATATCAGATTTAAGTCAGATCCGAGCCTCGCGTAGACGCTATTTTCTTGAAGCGAATTCGGTCCGCCACCGATCGCCTCATATGATAGAACGAATCACACAGAATAACATATTACGCAAACCGAATAAGGAGGTAGAAATTTCGTGGAAGAATTTTTGAAATAAAATTTTTTTAGCAAGAAAAATTTCATATAAGAGATTTTTTCAAGAAAAAAAAATCCGCTTGTGAAAATTGATGAGGAGAATGTTTTTTAATGTGAATTACTTTAGAAAGAAGTTAAATTTAAGATAATTTAAATTTTTTAATCACCCCACTTTATTTTATGCATGTTGCATTCAGTTGCAAATACTTTAATTTATCCAATTCATCTAACATTAATTAGTCACATATATTTAATTGGATAAAAAATAAAATTAAATTACTTAGATTTCAATGCTATTGGGCTCGGCCCACGAGCCCTACGACTCCAAAGCTCAAGTCTTGATTAATTAATTATGAGCTAACCCAAGCCAATGCTCAAGCTAAGCCCAAATCAAATCAAGCTCAATCCAATCTACATCCCATTTGGTCATTTTATTGTTATTATCATCAAAACATAAATAAAGAGGGGTGAGTTTGTTTGTGTTTCTATTTTGGGACACAACCTTTTCATATTCATTTTTTTCATCTTTCACATATTCATCTAACAACTTTGTCCCTTTTGGATCTGCAAACAGATCAGACAACCAACGTGCTACATGCAACTCTGCTCAAGGTCTTGGTTTGAGGTGTAATATTTTGAACAATGATAAAATCTTAACAATGTTAGACAAAATGTATATCTCACTGTCCTACTGCATACAAAGACGAAATGGTTTTGTCCCACGAGTTTGCATGCAAATAGGGAGGTTAAATTTGAAGGAAGAAAAAATCTATCACTCTGATTACCAAAAAAATGTATTATTTGACTATCGTCTCTTCCTATAATATTTATGAGGATATAGACATGTCAGATTTTGTCCCTTATAATTAGATACATGTATTTGAATATGTCCAAATTTGTTTGACCCATTGGAAGCTTGATGTATTGATTTTTCATTAGCCAAAGGAAGAGGTGTATATTATATATATATATATACATACATATACTTTATAGGTTTATTTTTCTTTAAACTTTCCATCATTCATTGAGAGAGAAATCAAGAGTGAGTTTCATGAGCTTAGAGCTATAAACATAGAGAATTTCTTCACATCATTATTTCCTTATGAAAAGCTGAAATCTCATGTTGTAATAGTTAGTCATACTTATTGTTGAGGGGGAGTATACTCTTTTATTTTAAGGGATTTTCGTTGTGAGGTTACACCATGTTTTGAGTAGAAAAATTTGGGAAGATTTTGTCTATCACTTGGATCTAGACCTGGTCGAAGTTGCTGAAAATTCGAAACCGAAATCATATTCTGAAGGAATCACAACAGTTTGTTGTGTCGACAAACTGCCGAGTGTTTGTTTGGTGTAAGGGGATTCCAAGGAGAGTCAAAGGAGAAGGAGGCAACAAGCTGCCTACACCTTTGTCCAATCTCAAAGCACAACTAATGGAGGTCGAGGCATTGCATATTTGCATTTCCGAAGGAAAAATGCACTTGTATGTGGTAGGGAAATCAATACATTTAAGTTGAGTTTATGACTATTGATTTGTAGAGTGTGTGGGAAGAGTTTTTATATCTTGTTCATGCCTTACTCGTAGTGGAATTGCCCTGGGTTGGTATCCCCAAACGTAGGCCGATTGAGGGCTGAATTGGGTCAACAAATGCTAGTGTATTGTTTGCTTCAATTCACTCTGCACTGCACTTCTTGTTTCTTATTTGTTATTTGAATCTCAAGCAGACGACATCACCCTGAGCGTAGCAAACCTTTTGGGTTTGTATTCCATTCCGCTGCATCGTTTAAGAGTGATCGAGATTAGAGTTTAAGGTGTAAAAATACATCTTTGTGGGACGTCACTACCAAGTTAACAAAAATATCATTTTTTTTTTTATAAATACATTTCTTTGATTTTAGTTTGAATTTGAGTTTATATGTATTATATATATACTGAATTAAATACTTCCTCCGAAAGTATACATATTTTTATTTTGGGTTGTCGAATTGCTTAGGCATTAAAAATAAATTTCTAAATTTAATTGAATATCATATATTTTGAGAGAAAATAAGATTTGAAGAAAATAAATATATGATATTTAATTATGAATATATGTTAATTTTTATACAATAAATAACGAAATATGGTTAAAATGAAATATAGTATAAATATTATGCACTTATATAAAGCCATACTAAATTTGACAATAAATTAAATAAATTCTTTCGATAAACAAAGTATTATAACTAATATCTTCCAAAAATGAAGATATACAATCAAATTCTTAAAAAAAAATAAAAAAATGACAAAACGTCATTCAACAATAAAGAAAGGATTACAAAATCTTTCCGTTCGCCAATCGACAATGTTTCCTTATATTTGGGTTTGTGTGCTAGTTGCGCTTCTATGACGAGTCTTTTGTAGCTTGGGTCTTGGATATATGTGATGTCGGTTTGTTTTGATAGTAAGGTAAACTGAATCCGAACTGCTTGCTTCCGTTATAAATCGAAGTTTTGTTCAAATTTTGTTCAACATTAATATGTTAAGCAATGTATAGAACTTCAAATAAAATATTTGCTGAAATTTGTTGAATCAGCATTTTTGAATTCGATTCGATCGCGCACTACAAACCAAAAATATAAATTTATTCCTCGGGTATATCTTGTCTTAAAACTTTTCCTTTCAATTTCCTAAATCGTAATATAAATTATGAATTTCGCAACTAATAATTGCGACACGCCAGCTTCTCAAAGACTAATAAAGATCAAAATGAAGTTCAAATTGTGAATCTGATTCATTTCATTCAATTTCATCTTATTGAACCATCCCATCTTGAAAACCTGGAAAATGTTCCTTCAAGATTTGGTGTTGCTGCTGCTGAGATTTAAGCTCTTCCCATTCTTCTCTAAACAAGCCATAGCTCGACTTTTTCGACATTACGTCCACCGATACTTCCATTCTATCGATCATTCCAATCGCATATTGTGCAAACCTTTCGATGTCATCCAACAGCAGCAAACGTTTCCTCATATCCATTTCGTTCGTTGCTTGAAAAACTTTGTCCCGGGCTTCCTCCACCCGAGCCCAGAAGCATGGATCTTGCGTTAGGCCCGCATACTTGCTCCTCGGTTTCCTCTCCTCGTCTCCAACTTTTCTGTCTGCCCACCACTTGTCGAATATATCAAACCGTTTGTTCCTCCCATGCTCGATATAGTGCCCTTTCTTCGTGTGCATACCTGTCGAAGAAGACGGAGTTAGAAACTTCACATCAAGAAGTTATTAATAAGATCAGCAGAGCTCACTTCATGCTTTTACTAGAGTTTACTTTAAAAAAAAAAAGACTGATGGCAGTTTTGAATGAAAAATTAATTTTGCGCCAATAAATAAATGATACCTGCTCTGTAATAGTCGGCTATTTCTAGTGGCTCGACAAGGAGCTCGTAGAAACGGGAAGCGTTGACGTACTTTGGCTGTTTGTGGAAGTCGGGAGTGAGTTCGTTCTTCTGCATCTTGTCAATCAAGTCATCCCAGAATCTTCCGAGTTTGCGCATGTTCATCACAACCTTGAAGTCCCTTCGCGAAGCACCCCTGCGCTTGAAGGCGTCGTAATACCCTAGTTGATATTGGGCATCACAATAGTCTTTGTACCACTCTAGCTCGGCCCTAAATGGGGTGATCTTCGATAGCGAAACAGCCATTTTAGCGTTGTTAAGGTTGCGCCTCCAGTTGAGTTGCCGGGCTTTCAACAAACAATTTGTGGCCTTGCCATACACAGCATCCTACCAAAATGTATACATACACATATATAAGCCGTCATCATCGAAGCTACAATAGAAATATAAAGGAAGAGTTACTGTGCTGATTTGAAAAAATCTATATGATACTGATTTCCTCAATCAATACATCATAAATAAGCCGACACCATATGGTTTCAACTAATATAGCGCATGCTATGTTAATTGAAATCATATACTGCGTTCTCTATATAGGTGTGCTACAAAAATATATTTTATGTGATGAAATCAATAATAATATATTCTGTGTGGATAATCATCATATATTTATCGGTTCATATTAGCATTTGTATTATATTAACATAAATGATGTGTTGTATATTATTTTATCATGGGTTGTATGTTATTATATACCACTTTCGTCAGATTTTAAGGGTCTCATTTACTTTTTGTGTGTAGATCTTTCGATATTAATTATTATATCAAAATATAGTATAAATTAAGAAAAAAAATTGCAAAAATACTTTCAGTAGTGTCTTATAATACTAATAAAATGATATTTGTACAAAAAAAAATTATGATATTTTTAATGTTAAAAGTACAAGTAAATTTGACCCTCAGATGCAGATGGATTGAGTAATTTTCTGTTGGTATTGTGTTAAATTTAAAGATTCAGCGTAATAACTAGAAACGAAACATAAACTATATAAACAAACCTCATAAGATATCCCAATGGATTGCAATGCCAATGCGACGCCGGCTTCACTACTTGAGTCGGGAATAATAGTTGGGCGAAAGCTTAGCTTTTGCATATATTGCGCGCAAACTCTCCCAACATAATCCCCATACTTGAGATGATCCTCTATACAAGAACTAACCCAACCTCCGGAAAGCATGGAGTAACCAAGAAACTCGACTATAGCCCTCGAGTCATCCATGCAAACCGCGCCTTTCTCAGTGCAAAACACATAACTACCAAACGGGCAATACAAGCTTTCCTTGTCCCCGGACAATTTTAACCAATCCTCGACACGGCCCAAAAGCTCGGCAAGCAGCTCATCTCTCTCGACATTAGAGATAGGAAAATGTTGTAGCTGATCAAAGCTTGTAAACATGGCAAAGATTCGAGGGAGAAATGGAGAACGTGGAGAGAAAAGCAGTGTAGGGAAGATGTCTGTGGGCGCGACAATGTGACAGAAATTGCCGGCCCATCTTTGCTGCAGAATGGCTTTGGAAAATGGGTGGTTGGCGAGCATGGGGGAGCCGAAGGTGATGCAGAAAATTGGCGCGCTCTCGAACCGGGAAAGAAGCCAAAGGGCGGAGAGGGCAGCCACCGCTCCACCCAGGCCATGACCCGCCAAAACCACTGACTTGCAATCCTTCAACGCCTCCTCTAACTGCAGTTATTCATTCATTCATATTGTTAACTACAAAACACTTCTTCAAATTTACTTCCTCCGACTTAGATAATATGGGTCTATTACTGTAGATACTACAAGGTAAAATATAATTAGTAAGTAATTAAAAAGTGTATTAGTAAAAATAATTATTATAAAATAAAAGTAATTATAGATTAAGATAACTAAATAGTTTAATTAAGATTTAAAAAAATTTAAAATATGATTAAAGTGTATAATCAATTTTCGAAAAAGAAAAGAATACATGATGTGGGACGGACAAAAATAAAAAAATAGGGACAAATTATGTTGGACGGAGGGAGTAGTAGTATTTTTTCCGTCATTAAAAAAATAAAATAAAATAAAAACAATAGCTCTTTCTTTTTTTCTGTTTGCGGTGCCAAAAAATCAGACTACTCTATTCCGTAACTAAATATTTGTTCATCTTTTAATATTAATTATTATATTAAAATGCATTACAAAGTATTTATATTAGTATCTTCTATTATAATAACATTTGGAAAAAAAAAATTATACAAATATAATAATATTTTTAATGCTAATTACAATGACGTTAAGGGACAATTTTTTATAATTTTTGTGATATTTTATTATAAAAGGAAAAATTTACATGATACATTAAAATCTTTCCTAAAAATTAGTTTATTTTTCGGAAAGTACTACAATTACAATATATCATAATATGCTATGTTTATTTGTTTTTCTAATTTTGTTCTTGACACTATATTAAAATTTTCTATTTATTTATTTTTTTTTAAATACTCTATGTTTATATAAAAATTTTGAATTTTTGAAAATTTAGAATTAATCAAAATATAATTATATACTGTGATATATATATATATATGAAAGAAAAATATATTTCATTTAAGTTTTTGAAATACAATAAAAAATAGTGTAGAAGTTTTAAAAAAATCAATATATAAAGTTTAAATTTAATGGTATAATTTGATAAATAATTAAAAAAATGTATAATTAAAAATAATTATTGTATAATACAAATAATAATATACTAAAATTAAAATAATTTATTAATTTAATTAAGATTTTAAAAAATATAGATTATGAAATTAAAAATATGATTAAAATATATAATTATGTTTAAAAATGATGAAAGAAACAAATTATGTGGAATAAAGGAAAATAGAAATATTGAATAAATTGTATGAGATAGAGGAAGTATAAGATTATTCGGCTATGTTCGAGTTATGGGTTTGCTGACCTGAAACAAAATTAAGTCGACATGGTGTAATTTTTAAGGCCAAAAATGATGTTCATAAAGTATACAGGTTTGTATATTTTCACTCCAACTCAAACTTGCGTTCAAACTTTCATGAATGGCAAAAAAAATTGAACTAAATTTTCGATTAATTGAGCTAATTCTGTTCGAATTAGAATACTATATATATATATTATATTTGTTCGCTTAAATTCGGTTTCGATTTTTTGATGTTTTTCGATTCAGATAACCGAACCAAATATATTTATATTATTACATTTTAAAATTTATATTAATAAATATACTTGGTTCGTTTTTGGTTTGAAAGTTTGAAATATTTGCGAATATTTTTATTTAATTGGAATTTTAATTAGTTTTTAATGTATTTTTTTTCTTCATTTTAGTTCCGTTCGAATTATTTGAAAATATTTTTTATTAAATAAAATTCTCGATTTGAATACAATTCACAATTTCGAATATTTGTTCGATTTATTCGAAAACCAAATATTTGTGTATTTACGAATAACTGAACCATGTCCACCCTGAAGTCATTCTTGCACTCTATTATCTACCATAACTATTTTTTATAAAAAACATTTTTTGCAATTATTTCACTTAAAAACATGCAAACATAAATAATAATAATAATAAATAAATAAATAATACGAAATGAAAAAAAAATGTATTTCTTTTTTTTTTCTATTATTATACGTGTAATAGATAAAATTAATATATATATATAATTTGATATTTAATGTTTCTATTTATAATATCATAGGAAATATAGTTTAAAAAATATCACATAAAATACATATTTTAATATAACTAACATTATAAATTTATTTTTTTTTAATTATTTTAAAAACAATCTAAAATACCTAAAACACAAATAATACACCTATAATTTGACTTCAATGAAAAACAAACGAATCTGTATATGTGTTTATATTATATGTAATTATGTTATGTTATGTCATATATGGGTCCAAAAATTGAAAATGGCGTGCGAAAGGAACATGCTGCAGTAACGTGTCCATTTGGCACAGATACTTTGATCTTAGACGACAAAACCAACAATCCTATTTTTTTATTATATGTCCAATAATAATAATAAATATAAATTTATATGCAAAGAAAACGTGCATGCATACAAAAAAATAAAGCTGATTGAAAAGTTAAGACGGCGGTCCTCAGTAAATTGTCATATTAATAAATTATATGCTAAGTGAATACAACTGCGAAACTAGCATCTAAATTAATATTATAATTTATTTAATATTTAGTTAATAAATTTAAATAAATAATAATGGCAAAAATTATGTATAAATTTAGATAGTTTTTAGGAGACAAATTATATATAAATACATAAAAATTAATATTTTTAATACTAAAAAAATCATAAAAAATTTGAATTGGGAGTCCTAATGTAATTCCGTCCAATCCCCTTGCAAAAAATTTAAGGTTGTCTATTTGAATTACTTATATGATGTGGATTGATTTTCAAAATAATCAAATTTTACAAATATAGAATAAACTTATAAATTATACTCTCTCCGTATTTATCATTTTTGTCAGTCTTATTTTAAAGTATGTATTTTCTATTTTAATATAAATATACACCAACATAAAAATATATTTAACTTTTATTTAAATTAAAAACATATTATGACGCATACATTTATTTTTTTATATAAAATCAAATGAAAAAAATATTAAAATTTTTTACACACTTTTACTAACTAATACATTATTATTATACTTCAAATGATCTTGGACCGGGAGAAATAAAATTATCAACTTAATAGGAATTACAAGGCGTACTTACTTTCATGTACTCTGGTGGCCAGCAAGAATTTTTTTTAAATTATCCAATAAAATATTACTCCCACCGCCGTATTTTTTATTTATATTCCTTTCACATTGTATATTATTTGTTTTTTTAAAAAAAATATTATACATTCAATCGTATTTAAATATTTTAAAAATTTTAAATTTTTAAAATATTAATTATATTAATTAATTATCTTAATTTTAATTTATAATTATTTTTATTAATATATTTTATTTACAATAAGTGTGACATTATACGACGAGTAAATACATCCGATATTTCCAATCTTTAACGATAATGGTGTAATTAAATGATGAAATTAACCCAATCCCAATCCCAATCCCAATCCCATTGATTACCGCCAAATAATAAATTAATGAATTAGCCAAAACGAATAAAGAGGACAAAAAGGAATACCAACCTTCCGTTGAAAAGAGGGGGCGGCGTGGTACGACTGGAACACCTTCAGCACGCCGCCGTGAACCCTCGCCGCTCCACCCTCAACACCCCCAAACATCCCCTTACCCTCCACCTCCACAAAATCCGACGACCATCCTCCCGCCGTCGGCTGCACGGCGGAGAACGCCACCAGTGCCGTCGGCCCCACCCTCTCCACCGCGAATCCCTGCTGCTGCCCGGCCACGGCGGCACACAGCCGCCACGACTCTTGGAGCAGCGGCGTGGAGAAGAGAAATGCCGCCAGCATTTCGCCGGACTCGAACCTGCCCGCCAAATAGAAAGAATCAAATTAGATAGAGCAAAATCAAAGAGATGAACAAGGGTGCGATTGGATTACTGGGAAGCTTCGTGCGCCATTAATGCGACCGAGCGAGAGCTTATTAGGACTTTTAGGAGTGTGTTTTGTGGGATTTGCAGAATGAATAAAAAAACAAATAATTGAATTTAACTAACTAATTAGTTTTCGGAGCACCCACGCCACGCACACTCATAGTGACTGATATTTGATGTTACTAGTAGCAAGCAAGCACCATCACTTCACTTATCCACCACGTGTAAAAACCCGGCCGAAAGTGCACACTGATAAACCTCCGGCCGAGACTAATGTCCAACAAACTAAGCCCGACAAGCTACATTCTTAAGTTCAATCTCCACGCCACCACACAATTCCTTGCCGGACCAAACTATGAGTATTAACCTGACCCGACTATGATTATTATTATTATTTATAACGTAGGAATCTGCGACCGCTACCCGAAAATGCACAATGAATAAACCTCCGACCGAATCTAATACCCTGCAAATCAAACTCGATGGGCAAGTCACACTTGGCGAGACTATGATTATTATTATTATTATGAGTTGGAGTTTGTCTTTCTTTAGGTCAGTCAAGCATAGCACAAACCTCACGCCACGCCCATGCCCAATCAATGCAGCAGAAAAAGACTACTTCCCTGCGGTTGCCAAAGGTTGGTTTTGCCACGATGATCACTGTCAGTTGTTGAATCCAAACACACACCCAACCCAATCATGGCTGCTGGATCTTGATCTTGATGGATGGATGGTAATAAACTCTATATACAAACAAGCAAGTAGAATTGATCTGCAATTCCTCAACCTTGCATATTAAAAAAGATTTCGAGGCAGCAAAACAGACTGTCTGTCGCTCAATAACTAATTATCAAGTAAAGTAATGTCTAAATGACTGGAAGACAGTAGCATGCTTTCTTTCTAGGTAGAACTAGAACTACTACTCTTCTTCAATAATGTTCGCCCAACCAAATTCCTCTTCTTCTTCTTCTACTCTTTTTTGTATCAGATAAGATAAGATCAATAATGCCAGGAAGAGATCCAATCAGCCATACATACTACTACTACACAAGCCTGATAGTCCAATCATCTGCGATACCAACATTAGGCTTACGGATGGTTGGGACAGATGGGCTCTGTCCTCCTTGAAGCATGAGTGGTCCGAGTTCAATGTCTACCTTATGATTGCCTGGTTCGATGACCGCAGTCTTTGGCACGGAAGACAGGCCTACAAGTATGATTCTCTCGACACTGCATTCTGAGGCAAATTTTTTGTTGTTAGATCCCAGAGGCTGAGAAGTGAGCTTTCCGTTGGAGAATGTGAAATGACGGTGTATGTAAGCTCCCTTCTGGAATTCAAAGCTCTTTCCATCATCCATGTAGAGTTCACCTTCAGCAGCATACGAACTGTTGAGAGCAATAACCTGCAAAGGGGATGAAACTGGAAATGAAAAACCAGACATTGGAATCGGTAGTAGATGCATTCGTGGATTCTAGGGGAAACTGGGAACTTAGCCTTGATGAAAAAGTACTGTTCAAGCGACCATTCCAAAAGCCTTTTCATCCTACTAATCAATATACATTTCCAGAAAAGACTAGTGCAATAAGTGGAGAAAAATAGTACTTTAGCTAACAGAGCCCCCGAGGGTATATTTCCCCCCTACCAACTCAAGGTTTCAGACAAGGCTAAAAAATGAAGGGTCTGAAGGAATTAAATATAAATAAACAAAAAGCATAGATCTTTCGGTTGCAGAAGTTTTGAGATGAAATTGTTCTTAATATTTATATATAAAGGAGCTGAATAACTAACATTGCTCATACTGCACAACAAGCATTGAATAGATGCGAGAAAAAACTGCATTCAAACTCAAAATTCCCACATCATGCAACCCAGCCAGTGGATTAATTAGTTCACTTTGCACGTATATTGCATAATATAGAACTACAGGGAGCTGAAGTTGAAAGTTGAGCAATACCAGAGTGAATGGATCATTTTCCATCTGTGTGGAGCTTCTTCGGAATCTATCTTTTCTAGGTATGATAGAACCAGCACGTTGGAAAGAAGGTATGTTATCTTCCGAAACTGACAATTGGTGTGTAACTCCTCCTCTGTAAGGAGCTCCTGTTTTCAGGTCATACCAAGGCTGTTCTCCAGGAAGATACACCGACACTTTCTTGGCATCCTGTTTAAAAATTCCATTTACTTGTGAGTAAAGTGTTGAATATAATATAAATAATATTAACAAGAGAAAAAAATAGATGGAATGGCACCTTGGTGTAGATTCCTTGCACCAAAAGACTGCTTCCCACCATAAATGCTTCATCATTACTGAAAGTTTTCTCATCAGAAGGAAATTCCATCCAAAGCGGGCGTGCAACAGGCATACCACTGACATTCGCCTCCCTAAATAGCGTGTAGAAGTAAGGAAGTAACATATAGCGGACATGTATGGCCTCCCTCATGAGTTGCGTGTTGCGTTCCCTGCAACAGCAGGAAAACCCGAATGTACAACATTAGATACATGACTAATGGTAGTATGGTACAAATTATCCATCAGAACTATCAAAGCCAGCTCAGCTTCATCTATCTAGTTACATATATACAGTTCAGCATTAATGGAGCTCAAGTGTGCATCAAAGCATAATGACAAAAATATGGGTATAAATTATTTACAACCCAGGGGGGCAACGAACTGTAAGAAAAACGTGGAGTTGAGATTAAGGCATGTTTCTCTATAAATCACAAGTTACAAGACCCCACAAGATTTTTCCTAGCCATTAGCAATAATGATAATAGAATAAAACTTAAGAGCAAAATATAATTTTGGTCTCATAACACTCATTATTTGGCAAGTAACCTCTTATCACCTTGGTCTTGTATTTGCACATAACATTCACGCATGATTACAACAAGTGAAACTTGGAGGTCCACGATGCATGGTAAATGTCACAAGCAAATACACAACATTAAAGCGGCAACAAGTGAGATTTCACGCATAGTCTACTTAAATAACTAGAATGATAAATGTTTACAGGAAAAATTTACATTTTTCTCCCAACAATAGAGGACATGATGCTATTTCTAAGTAAAGGAAAAGAAATTATGCGTCACTTCAGTTGAACGGAAATTATATGAGAAATACGAAGGAGAGAATGCCCTCGAAACATTGATTGCTGCTGCTACTATTTGCATTACACAAGAAGATCAATTTGCAAACAATGAGAGACAAAAATAAGAAGAAAGGAGAGATGCAGATGCAAAACAAAAAGAAAAGAGTTTGTAGAAGATCAAGAGACCAAAATAAATATGGATGAAACATTATGAATTTAAGTATACCTCACTTAAAAAGCTCTAAAATTTGTTTGAAGTAAGTGGTGATAAAGATTCAACTTTGAGACCTTGTGACTTTGATAGTAATTAGAACAGTCAAATGTCGTCCAAATTGGAAAGCTTAAGGTGTAGAAGAGGTAATCATGTATTGTTTTTTAGTTGTTCAAACAGACAACAAAAACAATCAGACACCAGCCCCGTGAAAAGTTACATATGCTCTTTAGTGTTCGCTAATGATATCTTACTGAAATAAAGGGTGTTTGCTCATGATATATTAGCGAAATAAGGGCGTTTGCAAACAATACCTATTGCCCTAAAATCTAAAAGCTAAAGGGTGTTTATCTTACCCAAATAAATAAGGTTCCCGCCTTTTGGTGTCATGATGAGCATGCCCTCTAAAGAAGGGATAGTAGGCACCAAGCTGATACCATCGAACCAACAGGTCAGTATCAGGATTACCAAAAAATCCACCAACATCAGCACCTAGAAAGCATACAAAATATCACAACAAACGAAAGAATAAGATGTCCAATGATGCAAACAGAAAAATGCACTGACCAGAGAAAGACAGCCCAGTGAGACCAAGACTCAAGATCATAGGAACAGAGACCCTCAGTTGATCCCATTCAGCTGTGTTATCTCCTGTCCAGACTGCACCATATCTTTGGCTTCCAGGGAAAAATGCTCTTGATAAAACAAAAGGTCGGTCTTTACCATCTCCTCGTTTAACAAGGCCATCTGAAGTAGCCATGTGAAAATAGTATCCATAGGCATTATGCAACTCTCGATGCTCAACATTGCCATAGTGCAAAGCATCTCTGGGCATTGAAACCTGATGATCATACACAGACCTTAATTTGTCAGGGAACCGGAATCGATGCAGCAGTAGACTTTTAATACAAATATTTTGACATATTTATGATATTTTGTGAAGAAAGTCCAATTGCCAAAATCATTATAACTTAAAAAGTAGCAGCCTCTGCCCAAGAATTTCAATCTTGATCAACCAGTGCAGTAAAACGGCTAGGAAATTAAATTATTTGCAGCTGATATATGTGCTTGAGGTATCTAAAACCAATCCTCAATATGTAAATCTAGTAATATATCAATAGAGTGGATAATCATACTTGATTCAAATTAATATCAAACGTTAGATCACATATTTGGAAGAACAATTTAGCTTGAGAGAGTTAAGTCAACAATGAGAACACTATCATATTAAAAAGAGAACAAACCAATCTAACTCATCTTACTTAGAGTGGATTCAAAATGTTATATTGCATGACAGAAGGAAATCTAAGTTGAAATTTGCACTATCATTGTGTGTCCCCTAAATAACTAAGATCTAGTTCAGCAAGTAACTAGTCAAACTGCAATAATCTTTAGAACGAGCAATTGGATCAATAAGGCTTAATAATAAAGGTTTACCTCTGGGCCATTGAAGACAGAAGGCTCATTCATGTCATTCCAAATGTAGAGAGAAGGGGTGGATCCGATGTAATTCTTGTATGAGAATTTATCTCCCCACCATTGCCTAATCTCTGGATTCACCATATCTAAGTATGATGAGGAGCCAGGCCAGCACCATCCATCAAAATCCTTCCCAGTTGCATCCTTCACATAGTATCCCTTTTCAGTAGCCTCCTTATGTATATAGTATGAGTCATCCCTCTTTATGTGAGGATCCACAATAGTCACCATGCGTCTCCCTTTCGCAGCTAATTTCTTCTGCATTTCTTCAGGATTTGGGAATAACAGCTTATCCCATGTAAAATATTTTTTTCCATCAGTATGCTCGATATCCAGCCACAAAACATCATATGGAATGTCATGCTCGTCAAATTTAGAGTCAACGTTGTACACATCCTCCTCGTCTCTATAATTCCACCGGCACTGGTGATAAGCAATGGAGAACAATTGTGGCAATGCCGAAGTCCCTGTCACACTCGTATATTGCCTTACAACATCCTTCGGACCTGGACCGACAAAAAAGAATGCATCCACCACACCAGCCTCACTCATCCATAAGGTATCGACCTTCTTCTTATCCGAAGGTAACCTTAACACTGATGTGGATTCCTCATTCCAACCTGACCCCAACACATCAATCTGCATTTCGGCAGCATTCAGCCAGAAGAAGCCAGAAGTTCCCCTAGACTTGCTGTGTGAAGTCATGAAAGGAATGGATCCATACAGGCCAAATGGCGAATCGTGCAAATATTCAAATACATCTAAGTTAAAAAGCCTGTAAGGTTCGGATTCCTCAATTCCAGGCCCTCTAGTTGGCTTCAAAGCCAAACTTGCAGCATGTTCAGGGATGCCATAAACAAAATCAGCCTCATAAAATGACACATCAAAGCTTATACTCTGAGGTCCATAAGGCCTCGAATCAGTGTGGCTCCTGAACCTCTCTTCCCAATTCTCGTCCTCCTCTTTTTGGTCTTTCAACTGCTCAAAATCAAACAACCCGTTTGAATTCAGTGACAAAACCTTTCTCCCATTCTTCCCACTCTCTCTCACAAAAACCTCAAACGGATCTTGCCTAATGACGCCTTCATAACCATCAGAAAGATAAACTACAGACAGAACACCAGCATCATCATTCTCCTCCTTCAACCTCTGCAGCCACAGCTTCTTATTCAAAAACTCAGGTACGATCACATCCGGCACCTCAAATCTTTTCTTCCGTGGGTTTAAACTTGGGTCTTCGTCAATCTTGACCCTCAGCACGCCATCCTGATACGCTGATAAAACGAGAACCAATGGCTTCACGGGATTCGTTCCATTTTCAGCGCTCTCTGGATCTTTCTCTTTGGGAATGAGTTTAGCCACCAGATCGCCATCGGAGATGTGCACACTGGCGGCGATCAATGAGCACGCGGCCGGCTTCCGGGATCGGGCCCGCTTGCAAAATGGGGTCTGATCACAGTTTCTGAACTCTTCTTTCTTCCAAGAGAAAACGGAATTTACGAGAAGAAAACAAAATAGAAAAGCACACAGAAGCCTTCCCATTGCTTGTGATTGAATCACTCAGTGTTCAAGGCTTAGAAAAACCATGGAAGCGGGAGAGGGTAGCACGAATCCTGGGCAATGTGAAAATAAGTGGATCGGGGAGTAGGCGATGGAGGCGTCGCCTTTTTCATTCAATCCCTAATTCCACAGATAAACTCACTCTCCCTTGTGGTTTTCGACCAGATCAATGGGTAGTACGATATTATTTGAGTTTATAGTTTTTACTCTATTTAATTTTGATTTAGATATATTTTTATTGATATTTTATAAATATATATATATAAGTATTTTTTTTATTGAAATTTATACATTAAACAGTATTTCATCCATCTTGTTACAAGATTTTATTTATTTATTTTTATTAATTTTTAAATATTAATTAATAGTATTTTGACGGTGCATTGCAACAATGGTATAAATTATTGAAATAATAAAATAAATAATTTCTTATATTGGTAAAATATTTTATAAAAATATACAAATATTTTTCGTGTTGATGAAAGCAGGACTGATATTGTAAATATATAAGCAAAAAAATAATTAAGTACACAAATTAACGTTTAAATTACATATAAAATTATTATATATATATTTTTAAAATAAATACAAATTATTTAAATTTTAAAAAATAAACTAAAACTGTTTAAAATGATTTACATATATATAACTGAGTATTATATATATGATATGTAAACGCTCCCTTTGTTCTATAATTACGTATCCGTTTACTTTTAGATTTTGAGTTGAAATTTAAAGAATAAAATTTTTGAATGTTTGTATGATATGATATAAATGAACGTTGATGTTGACGTGATATTTTGAATGTAAATGTCATGAAGCTTATTTTGTATGATCATAGAAAGCGTACTTTTCTCGACTTTTGTCATATACTACACGAAATATCATCCAGTACTTGAAGGGTACTGTGATGCTAATGGAATATTTGATATGAAATATTCATTGTTTACCAGCGGATATTCTTGATGACCGGAGTTGGAGCAATTTCGTGAAAGTCCACGAAATAAAATTGTAAAGCTCGATCCATTTTGAAAAAAAAAATCCGTACCTCCGGTAATGATATATTGTGATAGCCAAAATACAAAAACAAAGGCTAAGAATGGTATTTACAATGGTAAATCTCGACATATCTATACATACATAACACTGTGTGACAATTGATCACTAGTGGTGTTATGAATATTGACTATAGGTCAATGTAAAACCTTGCGATCCGCTAACCAAATAGTTATATTGATCAAATGTATAAATTGCTAAAGGGAATGGATCTGAAATCCACGAATTAAGAGACAATTTCAGTGGTAGTCCTACCAAATCACTTGGAGATCTCAAGCCTTGGTTCAATGGGAAAACTAAGCTGTAATAGTTCGGCACGAACACTTGACTACCATTCCCTAAAAAATTAAGAGTGTTACAAAGTGCAAAGTGGTGAGGTTGAGTCACTGACTCTTAATAGTCCTAAAAGTATAGTTGAATACTTTAAGACATGATTACCTATATAAGTGTGAAGTGAGGGTCGCTTCAAATGGAACACTTATGAATCCAAAGAGTGATCCATGACCGAAACGGATCAAAACGTGAGATTAAAATAAGATTGAGATAGCGACATGTCAATATTATTGACTAAAATGTACACAAAGGTGGAATAGTTCAATGCATCGTGTCAACTAGGCCATCGGTACATACAATAATATTGACTAAGGAAGGTTCAAAGCCACAAACTACTTATCCAGACATGTCAGTGTCTCTGGAATTGAGCTGTGTGTTGTCCTATTAATGGACATTTTCACTCATGTGGGGGATTGTTGAAAAATCGGTTAATTATTTAATTGATGAAATTTAATTTTAAATTAAATTCATAATTTCCGAAACCGATTATTCGGTGAGTTACAATGCATGTGGGTTGTAGGGTGGTTATTGATAATGTGGTTAGGCATATAAATGCCGGTAAGTCACAGACGCGTGTGCCACCTATTCAGACCAGATAATTATATGCATATATGATAAATAATTATTTGAAATTTAAAATTCAAATAATATATTTATAACCGAAATTAAATTTGGTATTTATGACTGAAATTTAATTGATATTTATGACCGGAATTAAATATAATGTTTATTGTCGGACGTTACCGAAATTATGGCCGACGATTACAAGCCATTAAAAACCGATGGTTTCAACTCGGCATTATTTAAACTCCAAAGAGTGGAGTGACTTATAAAGGCTCTCTCCACCACTTCATTCCACACCACACCAAAAGAGATGAGAGATTCTCTCATCTCTCCCTCTCTAATCCTCTCTTCTCGGGCAAAGTTTTCGGCGAGTTCTCTGGTTAAGTTTTCCGGAGAATTTTTGACCTCTGATCTCCCAACACAGTGTGTTTCCCTCGTTTTAGTTCGCCAGAGCTCTGAAATATTGGGGTGCCACTTAATTCGGAGACGAACGTCGTTTTATCTTTAAGAACGTTATGCCACGAACCGGAGGCACTACCGGGGCGTATTCATTTTTACGGAAAGAGGTTCTACCTCGACTCGACGTGATTATCAAATTTATTTCGATAAAATTACTGTGATTATCAAAATTATTTTGATAAATTGATTATCGAATTTATTTCGATAAAATTATTAAATTCGATAAAACTAAATTATTGTGATTAGCAAAATTATTTTGATAAATTGATTATCGAATTTATTTCGATAAAATTATTGTGATTATCAAAATTATTTTGATAAATTGATTATCAAATTTATTTCGATATCAAAATTTATCTTTCGATAATTATTTGATATTGTCGCCGTACAAAATTTTTTCAACATGTGTATGCGATTTTTGTGTTATTATCATTTTTATTTCTAATAGTTGAGCTACTGCATGCACTCATATAAGTTATGAAATTTGACAGCACATATTTATGGAAGTGCCTAAAATACATTACATGTGCTTATGTGTATGTGATTTTGATTGTTATGAAACTTAACAATCATGTGTATGTGATTTTCAGTTGGGACAATTGTGATAAAGCCACCATTTGTGTATGTGATTTTGATTTTGTTATGAAACTGGTTAACAACATCACGGGGGTTTTAGAGACTCTAATTGTAGTATTGATTCAATGCAATTAGGGATGACAATATATATATATATATTATAAGTTTGGATATAGATGAACCCAAGACCCTACCATATGTATATTACTGGGCTCAAGATCCTATCAAGACACTAATATATCCGGTTCCGTATGTACCCGGACCCTACACCTGATGTACCCGCCAGACTCGCTGGACCCGCTAGACCCGTCAAATTCAAAAAATTTCAATACGAACTTGACTCACCCGACTTACCTAAAAAAATAATTTTATTTCAAAATAATAAATTAAAAAAATATATACAACAAACAAATCTTCATCTATACGGCCTTGACGCCTCCTCCGCCACGCCGCCACCACCACCACCACTCATAAGGGATGGACTTGTGACCGTGAGATTATGGGTTCAAACCCCCGACGCCTCAAGTCACCTGCTACACATGGTTCGCCTAGTGTGACTTTCCCGTCGGGCGTAATCTGCAGGGTATTATGTTCGGCCGGAGGTTTGCCCAACGCGCACTTTCGAGTAGCGGCTGCGGGTTCCCATGTCATAAAATAAAAAAAAAAAAGTTATAGGTTCAAACCCCGACGTCTTAGGTCACCTGCCACACATGGTTCGCCTAGTGTAACTTGTCTGTCGGACCTAGTTTGCAGGGTATTAAGTTCGATTGTGGGTTTACACAGTTCGCATTTTCAGGTAGTGGCTGCGGGTTCCCACGTCCTAATAATAATAATAATAATAATAATAATAATAAGTCCCGTAAGGGATGATTTGGTGGCGTGGGGAGTAAACTTGTACATGCACATTCATATCTTACTGCTCCAAATTTATCATCATAAGTCGTTTAGGCTTGCAAATACAGCTGTAGGCATTTCATTAAAATGATTGTACATCTAGATTTACATAATTATTTTCTAAAATAATGGGACATTACCAAATTCTCATTATATAGTTTTAAAGAAATATATTCCCACCCTAAAGGACATATGCACAATTGATCTATGATATTAATTTAACACATCATTCGTCAACATGGATCCTTCCATTGAATCGAAATCCACCAAACATAAATAATTCTGCTCAAAGTGCTAGCCAACAATAATAATTCTATCATAAAATGGATCCCCAACAACAAACATAAAATACAAACAACATTTCCAGATAAATATGTAATACACAACAGTATTGTATCTCTGTGTCGAACGAGGTCAAGCACAGACAATAATATAGGGGAAAAATAATGAAATCAAGCAAAACATAAGTAAATTCACACATGCTGCTACAATATTTATAATACCAATAGTCAAGTTCTTGAAATGACCATTCAAATCGTTTTGATTCCATACTAGCATGTAGAAAATATAGCCTAAATAATATTAACCATTTTCGGCAACAATGTTGTGTCTCTGAGTCCAATTCATTCAACACACAATAAATTGATAACAATATTAAGTAATTTCAATCAAATTGAGATCGATTTATCTCATCCACTATCCATCCTTCTCTCAATGTTAATGTTGGGGGAAATATAGGAGGATAACACAAATGGAATCTACTGTTTGAGAGATCCATGCAGTGGGTGATTAAATACAACGAGACAAAATATATAGAAAGTGTGTACATAAAAAGATCATATTTTACTCAATTTTGTAAACACTGATGCTATGGTTTCTTGCAACATATGTTTAGTTTGAAAGCAAAAGAACCATTCATAACAATTGCATGATTGAAAAAGGCTATGCAAAATCATAGAAACATACGATGGTGAAGGAACTCCGAATGCAAATGTAGATACTCCTTGTCGATGCTTGTGTTTGGGATTGGCATAACACAAGACATAGACACGCCCACAATGTTTTCCTTTCCGAAAAAACTCACATAATTGTTTGACTGATGATCGAACCTTCTTCCCTGTGAAAAGGCAAAGGATATATGCACAAAAAAGAGTAATAGTTGAGAACAATTATCATTGAAATAAATAATTAGCTTATGGCAACCAAGACATAATTCAAAATCCATGAAATTATGCTAAAATTGGGTATTTTAGAGGGGGTGCGAAGGTAGAAATATAAATAAATCATACAATGAGAGTATGTCCTAAAGAAACAAGAGAGAACTTGAAACTGATATTTCCACAATGGATTAAACTCTTTTATTACTACAACATTACATGAATTCTCCATCCTCTTCTTACATATTATAATCTCAAGTGAACTTTTTTCTCCCTCTGACACAAAGTGGAGAAAACTACTTATCTTCGGGCCACTAAAAAGAAAAAAAATGCAAATTGCTAAACAAGTTTAAGCAGCAAAACCACCAAATGACACAAAAAAATTGAATATAATTGAAGGTGGACTGAGAATTTAAGCACATATTTGTTTTTAAGCACATCAATATTTAATAGAACAAACATGCAATCGAAGAACATATCATATATAAACCTAAAATCACTAACAGTATAATAGGCTATTGATTGTATTTTAAAATGCATAACACCACACCACCATATAGAGATGAATAAGAATTATTATAATTGTATTGATGTATGACAACAACACTGCTATCAAATAGAAGAGTTATTTTTTTGCACCTCCATAAGCTCTACAAGCTAAGATCCATTCCATTGTATCGAATAAGCCACTAAATCTACTATCAACTGTTTTTCAAATGAAATTCAGACATTATTTTCTAAATTGTCAACTATGGATTGTCTTTGCTCACAATTGAACCAAGCCATCCAATCTAAACTCCTTTATTGTCATGAATCTAAAAAAGAAGAAGACATTACAAGCCACTCATACATTAAATTCAAATCTAATCATCCGGTTAATTGCATAGTCCTATGTTACACAAAGTCAAAGACACATTTTCATGTGATGCAATTGGAGCAATGGTAAAAAGATACAAACAGAAAAGGCACCATTTTCATGTGATGCATAGAATTTCCTCAACATTATCAAATTGAGAAGCATTGAATGAACGCAATTGAACCAAGGACCTTACCTAAGATGATGTTTCTTTGTATAGTGCAGATCTTCAATCTTCATCACGTTACAGTATCCGCAGCCTGGAGCTTTCTCTCCTGCCTGAAATTCAATCACTTTAACTAATTAAAGCCAAAAAAAAAAATACTTGTATCAATAACCGAATAAACAAACATAGAAATATTGCATACACGGAGGGGCTTGTTCGTAGTCTTTCCCATGGAGGTGAGAACAACAATGGGCCTTTCCTCAGGAAAGCTGAGGATGAGATGAGCAACCTCTATCATTCTCTCCGTCGACGCCACCAACGACCCGCCGAAATTCATCATGGAAGTCAATCCCTCGGAAACATTTTCCCCAAAAGAGAGACTCGATTAATCAAATGTATCAACATCCATATCTTTTTTGCTGCAGATCAACGTTCTCCGAAACGCCGTTGAGGCTTTTGTGGAAGAAGCCCCTTCGCACATTTTTGTGTAAAAAGAGAAGGGACAACAGAGTGGTGGAACAATGCAGGATGGCGGAAGGAGGCCAGCGGTTGCGGTGATTGGAGAAGGAGGCAAAGGGGAGCGGGTTGGCGGTAACAGTGCTGGGTTTGGGGAAGTTTGGGAAGAGAATAGAGAGCCACCCAATGTGGGGGTGGGTGGAGGAAGAAGGCGGCCCAGATTGTGCTTCGCCACCAAGCCCAATCAATTTTTAATCAAAAGGAAAGTTAAGACCACTGTGTGAGATTTTTTTCCGAGAGAAAATGCCTCAAAAAAATTGAAGATGGGCTTTATATATGTGAGGTATGAATTGAAGCGTATCTACAAATAATTAAAAATTTAATTTTTTAAAAAAAATAGAGTTCAAATAATAAAAAAATTGATTCGCTAACTAAATAAATATATTCTTATATTTTTTAAGTTCTAATTGTTGGATTGCAAACCCAAGTCCCATATTGGAAGTTGCGAAGAAAAATTCGACACTTTATAAGTTCTAAGTGAACTCCACTAGTATGAGGCCTTTTTGGAGAATATCCAAAAACAAATCTGTGCGGACTCAGCCCAAAGCAGACAATATCATACTAGTAGTGTTGAGTTGGCCCAGTCCCAATACTACTTGTAATCCACTTTTTCATTTCATTCTTCCAACAATTAGATAATGGATAATTATTTGAATGGATATACTATACTCATACGATTAGGTCTTCCTTTTCGAGGCCATGTAGTTACTTTTGTTAGGCCTTAATTTTTTTTTATTGAATTGTTAGGCCTTAACTTTTGAATACGTGGGCGCTGGTGTGCTAGGGTTTTTCATTATTATTGATATTTATTTTTCAAACTCATCTAAAATATAGGGTGCTTATATGAAAGTATTTTTACTCGTAACTTTTTATGAATATTATTAAAAAAATGTAGTACATATATAATTATACATAATATATAATACATATTGATTTATAAAAAGTTAAAAATGCAACATAAAATATTACATTGTGTGCACGATAGAGCATTTCATATTATATTATACAACTTGATACAACAATCAATATTTTAAAAAATGTGTGACAACATTTTATTATTTAATATACATCATATTGTTTAACATTTTTCAACATCTATACAAACAAGATTCAATGATGTAATTAACAAATCGAGATGATGTTTACAATTTCTAGTGTGCGTATAACATAATAGTGGTTTGTAGTTAAGTTTAAAATGCATAAAAAAAAAATTAATCATTTATTGTTGTATAAAAATATTCAGATTATTATTAATTAAAGTAAATCAATATTTTGTTTCATTGATATCAACATTTATGTGTGCATGAGAAAGCATTTTATACTTATATTATTAAGCATGACATTACATATGCTTTCCTACTACTCTTCCTATCAACATCACCATCCTTCTTCCACCATCGTCCCCACCTCCACTCAATTCTCCCATACTACTAGAACGCAAATTGTCACCCACCATCACGTCGCTTAACACCAACGATCCGCCATCCACCATCAATGACTTCCACCCATCAACCAAGGCCACATACACTGCCGGAGAATGAAGATCGCCACCAGGAAAACGGCGGTGGCAGCGGTTGAGACGACAGCAGTGGCAACGATAGCGGGGGAGACAAACAACAGTGGCGTGAACCACAACAGAAAAGAACTGCAAATAATTACCCTAAAAAGTTTGAATTTGATAAAATATTTTAAATAAAAAAACAATTTCACCCCTATTTAATCTACACCAATTTTGTATCAAATTTGATTAATAAATAAAATTAAATTAGCATCTGCCACACCCATCAGCAGGGATCCGTATCCAAAATACACACTTTGTCATCAAATTTGTATTTGTTCTCTTTGTATTTTACGTAAAATACAAAGAGAATGAATACATAATTAGATGTTGATATAATATTATATAAAAAATATTTTACACTTAAAAAAAAAAAAAATCTCAATCTAATAAAACTTATTTGATATAATATAAATTAATAATAAATATATGTCTGATTTTAAGTGAAAATGTAAGATATTATACTTTTAATATTTTATTTTTATTATTTCTTGATTTTCTTAAATGTGGTTTATTTTTATTGTATCTTTAAACAAATATTATTTCTCATAAATATTTTATGTAATTATGTATACGTATATATTATTATTATTTTTTTTTTCATTGTATAATGTAAATAATTAATTTTTTTAGGTACAATTATTAAGGATATATATATGAGTTTTTTTTTTAATTTTTTATTTTTAAGGATAATAAATTAATTAAAACAAGAAACTACAATGTAGAAAATATACCATCTAGCTCCAAACAAGGAGTCCAATATCATGCTCAGCCTAATGTTTTGGTTCTTGTTGTTCAATGAGAATGGAAATTACATAAGTTTGATGTTAAGAATATCTTTTTCAATGATTTTCTTTACAAATCAGTCTTCTTGACCCAAACTCTTGGGTTTATTGATCCTAGATTTCTTGAAAGCATTATATGATCTTTATCAAGCCTGTCTCTGTTTCAGCAATTTAATGCTTATTAATGCTTATTTTCTTAGTATTGGTTTTTGCTAGAGTCGAGTAGAAACATCTCTCTTTTACTACCATTAGGTAAAATCATACTCCCTATGTTCAACTACAAAGTATACATATTTCTATTTTGGGACGTCCAATTACAAAGTAACCATTTCATTAAATACCCTACTTTTTTCCACAAATACCCTTACTTTACATCATATCATTACTTTTATACCAAAAAGTAAGGGCAAAAATGTCATTACACTATTTTTACCTACCCACTATAATTAAAATACTATTATTTCTTAAACTTTGCACAAAAAGTAAATGTATACTTATTGTGTGGACGGAGGGAGTATTTTTTTTTTTCTCCTTTATATGAATGATATCATAATGACGGATGACGATCCATTTTGCAAGTTCATCTCGCAAACTCATAATGAGTTTGCCATGAAGAATCTTGGCCTTCTCAACTACTTTCTTGGTCTTGAGGTTTCCTACACTCATGACGGTCTTTTCATTGGTTAGAAAAAATATGCCCATGATATCCTCGAACGTGTTAGGTTATTGGACTTGAAATTCATTACTACACCTTTGTCTACAAGAAAATTTCTTATTATTGACCGTTCACCATTTTATGATCCAACCCTTTATAGATCTCTTATTGGGGCACGTCAATACTTAACTACCACTCAACCAGATCTCTTATATGTTGTCAATCTTGTCGGTCAGTTTATGCACTCTCCAATAGAAGAACACTTCCAGGCTGTAAAATGTATCATTTGGTACATAAAGGGCACGATGCACTCTGTCCTTTACCCAGCCCTCTGATTCATGCATTGTAGGCTACTCGGATGCCGACTAAGCTTCCTGCATTGATATTTGTCATTCTACATATGATTATTCCATTTTTCTTAGGGGCAATATTGTTTCTTGGAGTTCTAAGAAACGACCTATAATTGCTCGTTCTAATTGTCAATATGAATATCATACTATGACTAATATTGCAGCTGTTAAAACGGGCTAACAAAACAAATTAGCCCATAACCCACTATAACATGTAAATAACCGGACTGTTTGCAGACCAATCCACGACAAGGCAGGGTAAGGTTTAGTCAATCCAAACCACCGGGCTGCTGGCAAGCCAAACGGGCCAACTCACAAGCTTTAAATAATTTAAAAAGATATATATTTTTCTATAATTAATATCTAAGAAATAGTTATATCTTATACTTCAAATAATACATATTTTAAAACAAATATCTAACCAAAATTGATTCAAAATTTAAATATAATTAGTTAATATATATTTTTTAAAAAAGTGATCACTACAAAAAAACTCTTGATTTGCGCGGGAAAAATTCCCTCGCAAATCAAATTATTTCCTTCGCAAAACATGTTAGTGAGGGAAGTTGCGAAGGAATACATGTCATCGCTATACACTTGCTCGCTAATTTCGATCCGAAGAAAAATTCCCTCGCAAATGTTTGTGAGGAAATTTTGCGAAGGAATTTTGCGAAGATATAGTGTTCCTTCACAAATTGATTCGAAATTTGCGATGGAGTTCATTCCTTCGCAAATATCCATTGCAAATTGATTCAAAATTTGCGAGGAAGTTCATTCCTTCGCAAATATCCATCGCAAATTGATTCAAAATTTGCGAGGAAATTCATTCCTTCGCAAATATCCATCGCAAATTGATTCAAAATTTGAAAGGGAATTCATTCATTCTCAAATATCCATCGTAAATCATTTTACAAATTATCATCACTAGTTCATTTCAAATTCCTACACTTCCAAAATAATTACAAACTAACAATATATTTATTTTAAATTCGTACACTTGTCTCAAACAAGTACAAAATAACATTATAAGAAATCATTTTAACCATCCAAATAGTAAGCACCATGTAAACAAAATAAACTCCATCTCCAATGCCATATGATAACATAAAATAAAGCAAACATTCCATCAATTCTGAAAATACCAAAAAGTAAACGAAATATGAAGGAAACATTCCATCAATTCAGAAAATACCAAAAGTAAACGAAACATGAAGCAAACATCCATCAATTCAGAAGATACCAAAAGTAAACGAAATATGAAGCAAACATTCCATCAATTCAGAAAACACCAAAAGTAAACGAAATATAAAGCAAACATACATCACGCGATCGGGGGAGCACCGGTATCGCCGTCCGGGTTACGATGGTCTAAGTGAGCCTGAATCTTCCGTAACTGTTCCATGATGGTCATATTTTGTTCCTTCATAATCTGCTGCTCGTGTTCTATTCTCATTATGCGTTCCATATCTGTAGGTTCAACTGTAGGGGTGCGGCCGTCACTGTTAAACGATGATTGTTCAGTAGGAACCGTTGATGCCAACGATCCCAACCTAAATATACGTTTTTTCTTATCACAGGGGACTAAGCTTAGAAACGCCTCGTCCTTGCTATAGTCATTGTCCCCAAGTTGGGACATCCCCTCTTCAATATGTTTCATTCCATCCTAAAAATACAAATATATTCATGAATTATATGCAATACTTTAAATAGTGCTTTAAAACATATGATT